TGGCAGGTCACTATATGTAATGCAATGAGGCCTCACAGGAGAGTTTATACTATCTGCATAGCAATCATTGACCTAATCATAATGTTTTTAAAGATAATAGAGTAAGTTTATAATTAAATTGTACAGGCATCAAAGTGCTACTGTGGCGCCACTATATGGCCAAAATTATATGGAGATTTGACCATCACGTCTACACTACATGGTCAAAAACACGTGAACATCTGACCATCACATCTACACTACACGGCCGAAAATCTGTGAACATCTGACTATCACATCTAGCTTTTATATGTGAACACCTGGCCATCAAATCTACACTACATGGCCAAAAGTAGGTGAACATCTGACCATCACATCACATCTATACTACATGGCCAAAAGTATGTGAACATCAGACCATCGCAACTACACTACATGGCCAAACATACAGTATGTAAACATCGGACCATCGCAACAACACTACATGGCAAAACATATGTAAACATTTGACCACCACAACTACACTATATGGCCAGAGGTTTGTGGACATCTGACAACCACATCTACACTACATGGCCAAATATGGCCATGGTCAAAAGTATGATGGACATCTGACCATCACATCTACACTACATAGTCAGAAGTATGGTAACATATCTGACCATCACATCTACACTACATGGCCAAACCTATGTGAACATCTGACCATGACATCTAACTACATGGCCAAAAGTACGTTGATATCTGACATCACATCTGCACTACATGTTTAAGAGTATGTGAACATTGGACCATCACAACTGCACTACATAGCCAAACATATGTGGACATCTGACCATCACATCTACTGTACATTACATGACCAAAAGTATCTGGACATTTGACCATCACATCTACACCAAATGGCCAAAATTATGTGAACATCTGACCATCACATCAACACTACATGGCCAAAAATATGTTAAAATCTGACCATCACATCTACACTACATGGCCATAATTCCATCACACCTACATTACATAGCTAAAAGTATGTGAACATCTGACCATCACATCTACACTACATGGTCAAACGTATGATGGACATCTGACCATCATATCTACACCATATGGCCAAACGTATGATGGACATCTGACCATCACATCTACACTACATGGCCAAACGTATGATGGACATCTGGCCATCACATCTACACTACATGGCCAAACTTATGATGGACATCTGGCCATCACATCTACACTACATGGCCAAACTTATGATGGACATCTGGCCATCACATCTAGACTATATACCTGCTTCTCCTCAAAAATATGGAGTTCAAGTGGTGCAATGGTCTGTAAAGAGGACCATTCATGATTGGGCTTGTTGAAAGAATTTCACTATTTAGTTCAGTTGGGATTGGTCCAAGTTCACTATTTATGGGTGGAGGAATCAAAGCCTACAGTGATTTCATAGGAGCTGTGTAAAATGGTAACTCTAATTGTGCCACTTACTGTATGTTCATTTTTTTAAAAGATTGATTAATACATAGACAAATGATAGATAGATAGTGTGACGGACTGAACCGTCACTGGTGGTGTTGGAGGAGCCTGAGGGCTAGCCTCCTTCCAACTGACTATGGACCCAGAAGTATGGAGACCCCCTCGGACCTCTTGGGGTTACAATTAACCATTGTACCAGGTTTATGTGTGGAGGGATGTACTGTACATGTTCCCTGGCATGTTCCCTGGCATTACATTTGGATGGCCCTGTGTGTATTATAGGTACAGGCTGTGACTCCAGCAGCACTGAAGGGGATAATTCTGGACATTGAACTGTTACAACCCTTTGTTGTATTGTGTTGATGATGGGATTAGGATAGCTGATTCTAGGAGTAGCTGACTCCAGGTGTAGATGAGTAAATCACACTATGATGCACTGAGGAGATAATCCCATCACATATGTCTCCTCCCTCCCTATTCATTCATTAAGGCATCGGGGAGGGGATGTCTGTTTGCATGCTTTTCATGTTTGATTGCGTTATGTGTTTAGACCCCCAGAGCTGTATATATACTGAGCCGGCCTTCAATAAAGCAGATCTTGGTTTCCACCTCAACATTGGTGTTGTCTAATGATTGAGTGGTGTAGTTCTGTCCTAATATATTGGTTCTGTCCAATAATTAGGCAGGTTTGGGCTGATGACACTGGGATTCGGGTTCCAGCAGAGAGGAAGCTGTTTTCTGACGGAGGTACCCAGTCGGGGTACCAGGCGGTCTGTCACAGATAGATAGATAGATAGATAGATAGATAGATTTATTTAAAGAGACTCAGGTGTCACATATATCCCAAGGTGCCAGGTCCCAAGGAATGATCCAGAAAATTGTATGGCATAAGCTGCAAAATGCCTACTACCATCAATGCCTAATTACACAGGCAACTGAACCCAGCCATTCGTTCCATGTCTTGGCGCTTTAACCCCTTCATGACTGAGGCCTTTTTTTCATTTTTTGTACCCATGTTATATTCCACATTTTAGGCCTGAAAATTACTTAAAACCCCCCAACATTATATATTTTCTGAATGCCAAGACCCTATAGAATAAAATGGTGGTAGTTATGTGGGAGCGCTGTGGTCACTGTACCACCCCTTACGTTGCACAGCCATTAACTCCGACCGTTTCTGCTCCCTGACTCCAGCCGCTTTCCACTTATGAGAGGTTTAATAACAATTTGCATTTCTGCGTGCCGATGCGCCGTTCCCCCCCATAAAGTGCGCTTCGGGTTTTATTAATATTTTGAGGGTTAAATCCTAATCTTGAAGGTTCTGCAGATCGGCTAGTCCGTCTCCTTAAAATTTAATATACCTCGTTAATGCTTACTTGCAAACACTGAAGGATTTTTACGATTATAATCATGTGTTACAGCACCTAGTACTGTTTCCAAGCTGCATACTAATCAGCTTAATGAGATATTACTGCACTTTTTGTTGACTAAGGCAAAATCCTTTTTATTGTTGGGAAGCTTGTCCTTTTATTTTTATTCAAAACATTATCATGTTTTATTGTATGCCAGAGACAGTCTCCGAGCTCTGCAAATAACATGAAAAGTTTTATATTTCATTTTGTATATTAACTGCTGGAAGTGTACATTAGCCGCGGCACAATATGGACGCTCGTTCTGCAGGAAAGTCACTGTTTTGGCATGCGAGGTAGGCCTCCCCGGACTTTGCAGGGACAATTTTGATTCCCAGATCATCAAAGGGGTGCTTCTTTATAAGATGGGCAGGGTTTTGAGGGTATGGTTGAGGATAAGAGCAAAGATGGGATAGATTTTATGTACGGTTGTGGAGTACTTGGAGCTCTAGGGCTCAACCTGCAGCCCTTTTTGTGAGGCCTACGGGGCCCCTACAGATGGTATTTTGCTTTACCTTACGTAAAGGAAAAGCATTCCATAGACTGGTTTAGTTTATCTTTTTTTAACACTATCACACTTTTGATTTTTTTCTGTGGTGCTTATCCATTTTCTCTTTTTTTTTCCATCTGATCTTTAAATATTGATATTGCTGAGGGAAATATCAAATGTGGCACAGGTATTTTTTAGGAGGGTTGTAGGAGCACAAATGTGGGAGCTCTGTAGAAAATGTCTCCAGTTTATTACTGTCTCTTGAAGTATGTCACCACTCTCAAACAACTCCTATAGCATGTCCCAGTCTCTAATTATCCCTTGTTCCATATCTACAGTCTGTAACCATCTCCTGTTCCATGCCGGAGGACTCACTTCTTGAGGCCCACCGCATCACAAACTTTGACTGCTACTGACTTAAAGCTAAAACTAAAGACATATATGTTTGTATGTTTGATATATTATTATTTATATATAAACAGTATATATATATGTGATATATGTGTGTGTATATATATATATATATATACCCTGCCCAGTTTACTTCTTCTGCTGTTTCCATAATCCAACAGGGAAAAACAATGACAAAGAGTGAATAAAATAGTGAAGTGAGGTACACAAGCAACGATAAGACCCTGAAAAAAGGGTTCTAACCTTTCCATACCGTGTCCAAAAAAGAAAATATAGGTTTCGATATACTATGGGCGGGATTTATCAAAACTGGATCAGGGCGATGGTTAGGGTACAGCCTAGTCTGGTTGTTCCTTCCGGGGTGCAGCACAAGTCCAGATTTTCTTGCTCTTATCCTCTAAGTATTTCCCACTGTATAGCCTACTTGCAGTTCCATGAAAAAGGGGGTGGCCCTTCCCATCTTAGCCAGTCTTTCTTGTTAACCAATCAGCCTCTCTCTTTCATTTTCAAAACTCAACTGAACAAACTGAAGAGAGAAGCTGATTGGTTGCCGTGCACAGCTGCTCCAGATTTTGTCTGCTCCAATTTTGATAATTTCCCTTCTATGTGTTCTTAAATAGTATTCATTTGAGGGGTGGGATTTGATTTAAAGAACCCCAGAGTACCCTTGTTGGAAGGTCTCCCCTTATTATTTGCAGAGCTACTCAGACCAAGTCTTGAATCTCCTTTGTCAGCAGCTAAAGTGATATATCTTCATAATCATATAAATAATCCACTAAAGAGTGTAGAAAAGAGGAATACAATGTTATCTTCTCTCTAGTGGATTCTGTGGACAACTTGTTTGAGGTGACGCCAGAAGTTTAGCTGAAAGGTTGTGCTGAAAGTGAGGGAAGATCTCTTCACTAGTGTCCACAGAGTTGCAAAACCCTACAGCTCTAACATATGTAAATCCATTTGTTTTATGAGGGTTTCTTCTTTAATACTTTATGTGAGCTTTAGTCAGATCATTATAATGATTTCTTTGCTTTTGCTGTTTGCAGGGATGGAGGAAGCTAGTTTGTGCCTTGGAGTTTCATCAGCTGTGCCTGACGTTGACACTCACCTCAACAACTCTCTGCTGAATGGCCAGTATTCAATGAGTCAGAAGCTACACCAGATAACTTCCCAGCTCAGCCACGCCTTCCCAGAGCTGCAGAACCGCCAGAAATCTGACGACAAGTCTGTGACACCCATAGAGGAGAAAAGTCATGTGTCCATGACCAGTCAACCCATCAGCAACCAGATGGCCTTATTGGCCAACCAACTTAATCGGGAAGTTGATAGTGGTCTTAATGGAAGAGTGGATCTGCAACAGTTTCTCAATGGACAGAACCTTGGTATCATGTCCCAGATGAGTGACATTGAGGACGACGCAAGGAAAAATAGAAAGTACCCTTGTCCACTTTGCGGCAAACGTTTCCGTTTTAATAGCATATTGTCACTTCACATGCGTACTCACACTGGGGAAAAGCCTTTTAAGTGCCCCTATTGTGACCACCGGGCAGCCCAGAAAGGTAACTTGAAGATCCACCTACGTACTCACAAACTTGGAAATCTTGGCAAAGGCCGAGGAAGAGTCAGAGAAGAAAATCGACTTTTGCATGAGCTAGAGGAAAGAGCAATATTACGGGACAAACAGATGAAAAGCAGCCTTCTTCAGCCTCGGCTCGATATGAAGCCACAACAACAGCACTTACAGCAATCCCCCTTACCTAACTCTCACATATCAGTGCCAGCGAATCATAGCACTTCTGACATTTCCAGCAAAGTGCCATCTCCGAAACCCCCGGTTGTTCAGGAGGAAGCAATTGCACCCACCACGGGATTCAGGTGCACATTCTGCAAAGGTAAATTTAAAAAACGAGAGGAACTGGATAGGCATATCCGAATATTGCACAAGCCTTACAAGTGCACTCTTTGTGATTTTGCTGCCTCTCAGGAGGAAGAGTTGATTAGTCATGTAGAGAAGGCCCATATCACGGCAGAGTCCGTTCAAGGCCAGGGCTCCAGTGGCAATGGAGAGCAGGCAGCCAATGAATTCCGCTGCGAAGTTTGTGGTCAAGTCTTTAGCCAAGCATGGTTCTTAAAGGGCCACATGAGAAAGCACAAGGATTCATTTGAGCATTGCTGCCAGATATGTGGAAGGCGCTTCAAAGAGCCTTGGTTTTTGAAAAACCACATGAAGGTTCACCTAAACAAACTGTCTGTCAAGAACAAATCCGCCAATGAAGCAGAGGTTCCAGGCTCCATTAATAGCCTTTCACAGGAGACTCACACCAATCTTTACTCCAGATATATATCCTGCTTGCAAAGTGGCTTTATGCCTGCTGATAAAGCAAGTTTGAGTGAACATGGCCATGTTTATAACAAATCTGATTTGAAAGAGAAGGAAGTCCTTGGTAAACTTCTGTCACCAATCACAGGCTTGGCTCATAACATGTCTGAAAGTGAAAAGCATTCTTTGCTTGGTTCTCTCAATTTGGTGCCTCCACTGAAATCTAGTTGCATAGAAAGGTTGCAGGCTGCAGCCAAAGCAGCTGAGATGGATCCAGTCAACAGCTACCAAGCTTGGCAACTTATGGCAAGAGGGATGGCGATGGAGCACAGCTACCTGTCTAAAGAACAGCAGATTCAACGTAACCATGAAGACAGTTTAAGCAGTCCTGGGGTTCTGTTTGATAAAGAAAAAAGAGAGTATATAATTGTTGGACCTGATGGTTCCAAGCAGAAAATGTCTACTGATATGGTTCACAGTTCTAAAATGTGTAATCAGAGAGATGTGCCATCTAAACTTGACCTCCTTGAAAGCACAAGAGATTTCTTGTCCCACGGTCTAAACCAGGGGCTTGAATACAACCTGCAAAACCACGGAACCCTGAAAGATAAACCAACTGAATGTCCAGATTGTGGTAGGGTCTTTAGAACCTACCACCAAGTTGTGGTGCACTCGAGGGTCCACAAAAGAGACAGGAAGGCAGAAGAGGAGGCACTTCGCATGAGCCTAGAGGAGCGGCGAGGATCAGGGAGCGACCAGGAATCTCAGTCTATGAGTCGGTCCACCACACCCGGGTCTTCGAACATCACGGAAGAGAGTGGAAACGGTGGTGCCCTGTCCCAGACTGGAAGCGCGCAGGAAGACAGTCCTCATCCATCATCTCCTTCATCTTCAGGTATGACATGATACATATGTCTCTCATGCTATAGATTCTTATGTACAGGTTAGAGGTCAACCCTAATTGTTTAAAATTCTCTCGTGGAGCTTGTGTTTTTATTGGCCGGTTTTTAAAAAGCCAAATTTATGTAAAAGTAGTGCTTTGCCCATGCAGGTCCAAAACAACAGGTTTGCTTTAATTTCACTCCTTCCGAGCATCTCGTACCTTCCCTTCCCCAGCCCTTTGTTCTGCTGCCTGGAGCAAAAATAGCAGAACCAGGTACTTCAGGCCATGGAGGAGCATATGACTTACCTTATCTAATGCTTGGGGATTTGCCCAGCTTTTGTCATATGGGGAGAGACTCCTCAGGTCCGTTTAAGCTCCAATAAGAGCCAATGGGATCCTAAGGAGGGCTTCCATTCCTTGCTCCTTGCAGCTAAATTAAGTGGTAGGGGAGTAAATGAAAGGGGATGTTGTGTTGCTGGGGCAAGAGGGGGACATTAAAGTATATCTGCTGCTTTGTCCTGCATGGGCAATGGGCAGGACCAGTTTAAAGTCATACAAATTTAAGTTACGTTTTCTTTTCTTGAGATATAATTTGATGATTAACATCTCCTGACTACAGATAAAATAACACATAGATACATGTATTCAACAATCTAACTTTGAACAGAGCTCTGTCTTATATACAAAATGTATGTAAATATACTGTGTGTATATATATATTGTATCAGGGTGCCTGTGAAATCAGCCAAAGTAGCAGGAAAAGTGATTGACAGGATATATGTCCCTCCACGGATTCTTAGGTTTGTAATCTAAGGCAATGTCAGCAATCTGTCTGCCGTCAACATCAGGCAAAGGGAGACCCGGCAGGACCAGGGACCTATAGTGTGCTGGCGCTGCCAAAAACCAGGATACCTGGCTGCAAGTTGTCCCCTAAACCACTCACCAATGGAATACAGACTGGCCAAACAAAGCTCTTTTGGTTGCCACACCACGGGGCGCTACCCTGGTGCGGCAACCAAATAACTTTGTTGGGTCA